ATATTCGGGAATGATATGATGTACACGTTCAGCTGATATTTTTAAATTGTCTGCTATCTCGAATAACTTCATTTTACGGTCTTTCAAATTCATTTTGTGGATTGTTTTTGATATTTTCGTCGGTAACAAAATGTTTTGGACGCCACTGCGTTCACCGTTTTCGGTGCTCATTTTGACTCGATCAAACTTAGCTAACCACTTTTCAACGGTTGTCTTCCCAGGTAAAAGATAATAGTTATAATGTTGATTAATCCAAATCTTGGTTTCAACAGTATATTTCCCCCCAAATACATTACACGACTCTACAAAAAAAATTTCGTTCTTTGTCCTAAAGTTTATTTTATGATTTTCTGATTGATTATAAACAAAAACTATAGGAAAATACCTTTTTTTCGTATAAAGTTTGCTTTTGTAAAAGTTATAAACCCCAACTTTTACAAAAGAGATAGTAACTACATTTTACTTTTTTGATAGTACTTATTTTGATAGTAAAACTTAATAAAAACAATTAAAATGGTTTTTTAAGTGATTTCATTTTCAACTAAMAATTAAAACCACATATTTAAAAAAATATCGTTAAAACGGTTTCCTAAATAAAAAAAACAAACTTTTTCATGTCATATATTAAGTGAACATCTCCATTAGCCCTGCATATTGGCCGGCTYCACAATTTTTTGATGTTTATCAAGRACAATCGGTCAAGCGGACAACTCTATAGAGAACTCTGAACAGAAAGGCTGGCAACCAGATATTGAGAAAGCAACCTTCAATTTTTGTATGAGCATATWCAAACTTTAACCTCAAGTACAATTCCTTGGATTCTTTTACCGACAAAAAACGTTTTCCGTCTCTATTCGTAAACAAAATTTTTATTGCATTGAATAGTTTATTATGTGAATAATAGTATAAAATGTATACCACAGCAACGTGTGGCCGGATTSACTAGTATATATGCAAATTTTCGATTCAAAATAATATTAATTCGTTCGATATTTGTAATCCAGGAATCAGGAATATGGCGTTTGAATTGTATTATACTGCTATTAATTGCTCCTGAAATCTATAGCAATTAGATAAACGTTTATCTAATCTCAAAATTTTATTGGTWACTTACTTTTATATTTCGRCACACAMACATACTTATTATAATATCTATAGCGATTAGATAAGCGTTTATCTAATCTCAAAATTTTATTGGTAACTTACTTTTATATTTCGGCATACAAACATACCTATTGTAATATCAGTGATAAGGTTCGAAATAATTGGGTTAGGCTAAGCACATAGTGAGAGCGAAGTACTGCAGAATGAGGTGAGCAGTGAAAAAGTAATAATTTATATTGTACGTAATAAAAATCACATAAAAGTTTAAGGCAAGACCATTGCCTTAACTTTTTATTTGACATTTTTTAAATCTATAAATCACGGTACTATGATAATAATGCTTTCGCGGCTTCATGGCATGGCTCTATCTGCTGTGTTTATATTTAAACAAATTTAACAAAATCGAAATAAATGACACTCCTTTACTTTAATATGTCAAAACTTTCTTTTGGTTTTAAAAGTACTGACCTTTTAGCTTAAAGAAACTAAAAATACACAAAAGGCAAAGACTGGAAGTGAAAATAAAATCATTTCCATAAGGAAAGATTGGTTCGTACCCAAGGGCGGATCCCCTTTCACGCAGTTCAAACAAAAAAAGTCAAAAGTTATATATTATTTTCAGTGAGCCACAAAAATCATCAGACCAGATCAACCAGAAGAAGTAATTATATAGTACACATAGTCCTTACACTTTCACTTTCATCTTAAGAACACGCGGAAATATTGAAATGTTCGTTGCTCCACTCTGTATTTAGCCTTAGGCAAGTCACTGAGCTTTATTAATGATAAAAAATTTCCAAAAAAAAAGTTCTGTTTGCAAATAAAAGTTGGTAACATTGTACAAAATTACTTTTAGATTGTAATGCCATATCATTTCCTGGACATTGCTCCGCGCACTTCTTTTCTAGAAATAGCACCATTTAAGCTTTCTTATCAACACAATTGATTATGCCATTATCGACGTATTTAAAAAAAAAAATGTCTGATAATAAGAGCAGCTAACAAAAATACCACAATTTGAGTCACCACAAAGCAGTAAAGCATTAAAATAGTCTACGAGGACCTGTTTAGGCGAAAGGTCGTTTTACAAAAAAAAAAAGAGCAAACAATGTCACAACCTGCTGTAAGACCACTAAGTGCACAACTTCAAGCAGCCGCAATTAAAGAATTGAATGAGGTGCCCGAACGTGTGGCGGCCGACATCGAGGCGCTGCGCACCTGGATCCAACAACAGCCACACCTGCGCGCACGTGACGATGATCAATTCTTGCTCTCCTTCCTGCGTGGTTGCAAATTTAGTCTGGAGAAGGCCAAAAGCAAAATTGACAAATTTTATACGTTGCGCACCAAATATCCGGAATTCTTCACCATCAACGATGTGAACGAAAAAAAGGTGCGCGAACTCATAAATACAGGGTAAATGTTTGAAGAATTTCATATTAAGTAGATCACGTTTTTAGAACTTCTTTGTAATTGCATAGCATACTTGTATATTTGCCGACACCGCTAAATGAAGATGGGCCACGTATTGCTGTGGTAACTCTGGGCACTTACTCAGTTGACAAATATTATATAGAAGATGTGGCGCGAACTCTGGAAGGCATACAGGAGATATTCATGCTCGAAGATGACAATGCCGTTGTGTATGGCATAACAACAATAGTCGATGTGAAAAAGGGTTCGACGGCGCATCTAATGCATATGTCACCATCGAGTATTAAAAAAATGACTGTTTTCTCGGAAGAGGCCTTGCCATTTCGCACCAAGGCTACACATTTTATAAATATACCAAATGGTTTCGAAACGTTCTTTAATGTGTTTAAACACATGTTGTCGAAGAAACTACAAAAGCGAGTGAGTATATAATGGAAAACTGTTGATTTTGCGCTCTTAAACCAAAATTTTCTCACTGTAACTATAGCTCTCTCTGCATGGCAATAAATTGGATAAACTTTACGAGCACATTCCTTTGAAATATTTGCCCAAAGACTATGGTGGTGAGAACGGTTCCATTGCAGAGGGCATTGCCGACCTCAATCAGAAACTTGATGCGTACCGCGAATACTTTAAGGCGAATGCGCAATATGGAACGGACGAAAAACTTCGTCCTGGTAAACCACTCGATTTCGATGAAATTTTTGGTGTGCAGGGTTCTTTCAGAAAATTGGAAGTAGACTAATCAAATATACATATGTATAATGAAAACACYACATTTTCAATAAAGGTAAAATTTTCCGTAGAAAGCAGGTCTCTTAAGTGCTAGTAAAAGCACTTCTTATTTGGCGTTTAGGTGAGAAGTAATCGACAATTTTCTCTTCCGGATTGTGTGGTGCTAAAGCAATATGCCTAACTGCTAGATTTATCACTTCATTCTGTTGACGAGTGTTTCTTCTTCTTCTTTACTACCGTCGTAACCGCTTACGCGGTTGTAGCCGAGTTAACGACAGCGCAACAGTCGAAGTCAGGTCTTTCTCCACCAGTCATTCCAGCGGAGTGGAAGTCTTCCTCTCTTCAGCTTCTCCGGCGGTTGCTGCATCGAATACTTTCAAAGTTGGAGTGTTTGCGTCCATTCGGACGACATGACCTAGCCACCGTAGCTGCTGTCTCTTAATTCGCAGAACCATGTCATAAATAGTCCGAACTAAAACCTGTTGGCAAGAGATGTTCTGCGTTGGATTTCGAGGCTGACGTTGTTTTTGGTGTTGATGCTGATTCCAAGATAGACGAAATCATCTACGACYTCGAAATTATGACTGTCAACAATGACGTGGGAGCCAAGTCGCGAGTGCGACGACTGTTTCTTTGATGACAGGAGATATTTCGTCTTGCCCTCCTTCACCACCAGACTTATTTGATTCGTTGCCGGTGTGGTTGTTAAGGCCAATGATATCGAAAGAGAATCGCCTTGTGTGAAACCTCRCTTAGTATTGAACAAACTAACGAAGCTTTTGATGTTGTCAGTTGTTTATTTGCCAGGTCTAAAGCCACACTGACAAGGTCCAATCAGTTTGTTGATGGTGGGCTTTAATCTTTCACACAATACGCAATACGATAGAACCTTATACGCGATGTTGAAGAGGCTTATCCCACGGTAGTTGGCGCAGATTGTGGATTGGGCAGAGCACACTTAAATTCCAATCGTTGGTCATGCTCTCGCTCGACCATATTCTACAAAGAAGCTGATGCATGCTTCTTATCAGTTCTTTGCCGTCGYTTTTGCATAGCTCGGCCGGCAATCCATCGGGTTCACCTTCTCCTGGCGTTATGCCTTCACWGCCGTTCAGAAGACTGCAGCAGTGTTTACTCCATAATTACTACGAGTTCTACAAGAGTATGCTCCGGTCTTGAAACCTTCTATTAGTCGGCGCATTTTTCGTAGAATTTGCGAGCGTTACGTCTATCCGCCAGCTTGTCAAACTCTTCATACTCACGCATTTCTGCCTTCGTAGACGAGTGTTATTATATTGGTAGTTGAAAAAGTATTTTCGTATTTCTAAACAAACATAAACTTATGTATTTWTGTATACAACAATTTCAAAATATAGCGAATTTCTCACCTTTCCAACACTGTGACACAATGCAATTTTTAGCATGTAGATATACAAAGACATCTATTGACAAAATACGAAAAAACTTTTTCGACTACCCAATATATGAAGACTTATGGACATACATMAATATATGCTGATTAGAAGAAATTGATAATCTCAAGCTTCTAGCGTACTATATATTGCAGTATATATACTTATGTACATATGTATGTACAAAGCTATAACTATTATAAAATGAACAATGTATCGCAAATTCTTATCATTTCGTGATCTAATCAATAAACCGATATTATGCCGTGTCGTTATTGATGTAAGAMAAGATTTCCATACTAGTTGGYTTTTGAGTGCATTATAGAGCAGTACAAAGWTTAAACATACACTTCCCTCACAATGGCAGAACTCAATATACGCAGAATTAGTGCAGAATTGCAGAAAATCGCCAACGAGCAGCTGAATGAGGTGCCCGCACATATTGGCGATGATATTGCARCGCTACGCACCTGGATCAAGCAGCAGCCACATTTGCGCGCACGAGACGATGATCAATTTTTACTCTCATTTCTCCGTGGCTGCAAATTCAGTTTGGAAAAGGCGAAGGGTAAAATTGATAAATACTATACGTTGCGCACCAAATATCCGGATTTCTTTGGCGCGTACGATGCTGATGACGCAATGCTTCGTACAATTATTAATGCTGGGTGAGAAATTAAACGATTCAATTGCATTTCTGTGAAGAAAATTAAACACATTTACGTGTATTTCTATGCTTAATAGCATAATTCTGTTGCTGCCGAAACCATTGCACGAGCATGGCGCACGCATTATACTCATACGTCAGGGTGCACTGCCAGCCGATAAATACACGATCGAACATTTCATACGCGCCGCAAGTCATTTACAAGAAATTATAATACGCGAGGATGATCACGCCATTATATCGGGTATGATATCGATTGTTGATATAGAAGATTGTACGACTGGACATGTTATGCAAATGACGCCAAGCGTTATGAAGAAAATGTCCGTACACGCCGAGGAGGCGGTGCCTTTACGACCAAAGCAACAACATTTCATACATACACCCAGTGGCTTTGAAACAGTTTTCAATGCAATGCGTCCATTCATGAGCAAGAAACAACAGAATAGAGTAAGTTTTTAAAAGCACCGAAGGCTCAGAATTGTTTTTTATTAATGTCAAGAAATAAAAAAACTGTATGTGTCTTATAGATTTCAGTGCATGCCGAAAAGTTGGATAGATTTTATGAACATGTACCAAGGTCTTATCTACCCGTGGAATATGGCGGCAATAATGGCACGATAGCAGAGATTATCAACTATACAAATAAACAGTTGGACGARTATCGTGCATATTTTAAGGAAAATAAGAATTACGGCACTGATGAAAGCTTGCGCTCGGGCAAAGCCATCGATTTTGAAAGTTTATTCGGTGTGGAGGGTTATTTCAGAAAACTGGAGGTGGACTAGATTTTATTGAACGAACCTGTTTTAATATTCAACGCAAAAATTCTAAATTATAACATATTTAAGATCTTATTCTTATCTTATCTTATCTTATTTTATCTTATCTTATAATTCATTTTTATAAAATAAAGGAAAATATTGGGTAGTCGAAAAAGACTTTTYGTATTTTGTCAATAGATGTCGTTACAGTGCTATATCTCCAGTGTTACCAATTACATTGTGTCATACCACATAGTGAGTGGAAAAGGTGAGATTTTAGCTTCATTTAACCAAAAACAAAATTTAATTCGGGGAAGTTGAAAAAAAGTTATGGCTGTTCAAAAATGAGTGAAAATTTGAGAATTTGAAATTTGGAAATTTTTGTRTAAAAAAGCGAAGCATGTYACACACGCCAKCAATGAAATTTGTGAAGTTTTCGGAGACGATGCTGTATCAGTTTGTGCAGCACAACAATGGTTCGCTCGCTTCAGYTCTSGAAATTTCGAAATTTCGAGTTAGACTGATGAAAGTGTTAAACTGATAGAATAATGGCTCTAGCGTAAAAATGGCAAAATGTTCTCGACCAAAATGGTACATATTTGTTTATTTATTTAATAGAATAAATGTAAAAAAGATAAGTTGCATTTTGTTTAGAWATACGAAAAGACTTTTTCGACTACCCATAAATAAATACTTTTACCTTTGAGGTAAAAAATTCACAAAAGTGTAGTAATTGGAACCGTAGTGAATTTTTAYGCCATTACACACACCTTTTCAAAACCACTATAAAAATTTAATTTTATAGCGTTCTGCTCAGGATGTTATTAAGAGAGAGTTACATACTTAGGTATCCATATTAACACCTTTTTTCATTGCAAGCAAATATTTATTTTGTTTTTCATAGTGTGTTTCATTATTAACGTTGAAATKATAAGTGCGTTTTTTTCAAGGTAACCGAAGCACAAATGTTGCCAAACTACTTACGAGGGCGAGACGATAATTACTTATTTTGAAAAAATGTCGTTTTTTCTCAATATTTTAGTTCAATACAATTGACGCATTCATACTCCGATATCTTTAAGGGGTTACATGGGYTTACGGATTTCCAAAAATCGATTTTGCTTATTATTTTATTTAGTTCTMCAACACCTCTAGAATATTGTCCTAAATTTTCCAGTTAATCCGAGAAATATTTKTGAAAATGCAGCCTTGAGAGCTTGTGTCCTCGCGGCTAGCTGGGCTAAGTGCGCGGTCTTTACACACGTTTTTCTCGATACTGTGTTTTTGAAGTCGGTTGGCAAGATTTCTCGAGAACTACTCAACCGATCTGCATGAAATTTTACACAAGTGTTTGGGATGTAATTCTTAAAAACTTGGACCAATGATATTTTTTTCATTACAACTATTTGAAAAAAAATATGGCGAAATTTTCTTTTTTYTTGTAAAAATGTGTGCCAAAAAACCAATTTTCAGTTTTTTTTCTTCTTCCAAGTTCTAAATTAAKGTTTTAACTTAAGCAGGTACTTTTTTCACTTGAGATGTTAATGTAAGGAGTTATCCTGACAACGCGRGCGCAAATTTTTGAAAAAATGCTGGACGCGAGGAAACTTATGTAACCTTTTCTTTACTGGCGTAGACACCCTGTGAAAGGGTAACCCCTTAATAAAAATAAATATTGTAGAATAGTAAACCAATTAATCATCGTTCCAGCTCATATGAGAATCTTCGCGTTCTTGGTAACATTTTCGATGGTTATTAGGTACTCTTGGCACTATTACTAGATCTCTATTGTGTGATAGTGGCTCCACGTTTCGTCAACACCCTTCAACGTGATTGTACTAATCGATTGTACATTTATTTAGTGGCGCCATTGGGCGGTGAGGGTTAATACCTATCGGAACACGCTCGTATAAAAATAAGTGGAAGATTTACCCCTTGATATGCTTATCATTTATATCTAATATTTGCAGTTACTTTGTTTCTAATTTTTTTTTTWWWAAAAAAGTTCGTAGGAAACCTTACAAATCAGCAAGCAAAGTTCACGTATGCATAACTTTGCATATGCTACTTGTCAAATAATTGCACTCATTTCCTTTCACGAATAGCACATAGCAAACTCCGTTACTCGCCTATTGAAAATTTTGAATACAAAGACCAAGGTAAATAAACGGCCCGAATTCATCTATAACGGAAATTTGGTACAAAAGCATTATWAAAAATGCTGCGATTTAACGTCTTGAGCTTAAAGCAAATCAGAGAGCTTGGAATAGCAAAAAATACGCATCCTTTGCGATCTATTTTATTTAAGATATTTTTTATTAATCACGCTGTATTGCCTGTTCACAAATATGAACTGAAATTTTTTAGATATCTCTAACATGAGCAAGGTGATTCTAATGTGCGCTATATGTGAACAAAGTAAGAATACCATAGTGACACTAACATGCTCGAGTATTAAAAATAGTTAATTTTTATACCCACATACAATTTTTTTGAAAGTGCAATAATCTTCTAAAGTTTATTGAGTTGTCAAACGATGATCATTGCATGTGGTGGGTTCAAAGTAAAACTTTTCTTTTTAAATAAATACGAAATGCATTCTAGAYTTGAGTATATTGAGTGCTTTTGCATGCCAGTAAAGTTTAGTGTCGCAAAAAGCGCACAACAGTATTCTACAATCAACGGAAATAATTGACACAACACGAACCACTGKCATATYTTCAATAATGGCAACACCGAATATACGTCCGTTACCAGAACACCTACAAGAGGTGGCTATCAAAGAGTTGAATGAGAGACCTGAACGGCTGGCAGAAGATCTGGAGGCCCTAAAGGATTGGGCTATAAAGGAGCCACATTTAAATGTGCGACTCGATGATCAATTGCTGGTGGCATTCCTGCGTGGCTGCAAGTTCAGCTTAGAGAAGACGAAGTCGAAATTAGATTGGTTCTATACATTAAAAACTAAATATCCGRAATACTACACATTACAAGATCCGGATGTGCCGCATTTACAAGATCTTGTAAAATATGGGTAAATATTAGACTTATTATTTTTCATGAATTAATAATAGCGAATTTAAATTAGAATTTATAAACAACTTACGATATAGTTATGTGCAAATGAAGTCGTCAGTAATATATGCATTTGTTTTTACTTGCACTTAAACTGCTAAAGTTTAAGGCGGGAGGCTGCTTTAGAGGCTTCAAAAAATTTATTTTTTTGAGGATTTTTTGGGGAGGGAAAGAAATATTTGATTAAACAGAATTTCTAGAGTTTATATTTATATATTTAAACATCAAAAAAATTTTTGGGTACTAAATCTTTGATAGTCTGCCTTTGGGAAGCAATTGCCCGATGCATCTCGCATGTGCATTTGTCGGACGGCGGGCAGGATGGAGATGGCAATTTCTAACGGAAACAAAAAATTCAAAGAGATTCATATTTCTTAATAATGTACCTTCTAGTTAAATTAATAAAAGAAAGGTGTAGAATATTACAAATTTTTTAAAAATTGAAAAAAAATGGTTTTTGACCAAAAAAAATTTTACTTTATGTTGTTTAAAAATATGTTCAAACGTGACTTTTCTTAGTTTTTTTAGTTTAAATAAAAGATAATTTAATGCCAAAGATAATAAACTTTGCCCCATTTCCATACGACGTTTAGAGAAAAATCGTAAAAATTAATAACCGAGAAATCACGCGTCAAAGTTTTCGCTTTTTGCCCAAACATATGTATGTATATATGCTAGACGCTCGGTCACTATTTTCCTTCTAGCTTCGAAAATATTTCGAATTYCCATCTATAACTTTGGGGATATATTCTTAGAAATTTTTTAAAGAGATTTAAGCAACAAAAATTCCATACTGCAAGGCGCATGTGAATGGAATTCAAAAACTATGAAGAATAGGTATGATTACACAGTGACTTCCAGAAACAGCGATTTTCAACATTATAATTCCAATCACCTATACATATACATTTATAGATACATCGTTTGCAGGTGAAGACAACTTTGTGAACAACTATGAGTCGTGTTTATAAACTACCTCAAATCGATTGATAACTATAATATACGCAAAGCTGCTAACYATCTCTTTGTATCGCTCCTCAAACCCTCGCTATACCAATCACAACTCTCACTCAAGTCCATTGACATGATAAAAGTCCATCTTTTAACACTATGGCTAATTTGAAATCTATGTACATATTTTTCTTACAGCGTGGCATTAGCATTGCCTATACCGTTAAATGAGACTGGACCACGCATTATATTCAGCCGTTTTGGTATTTATCCGATCGATAAATATAAACTTACAGACATATTGGCTACCGCTTTTGCAAACTATGAGCTAAAAATGCGCTTAGATGATACTGCAGTGGTGAATGGTTTTATTAATCTGATAGACGTTGGCAAAATAAACGCTGCATATTTTGCTCCATTTACGCCGCATTTGTTAAAGAAATCGATAGTCTTTTTCGCGAATGCCGCACCAATCCGTCAAACCGCAACACATTTCATTAATGTACCAGCGAGTTTCGAGAAGCTCTTCAGTATGGTAAAGCCTACGCTTACAGAAAAACAGCGGAATCGAGTGAGTATGCAAAATACCATTATAATAACATGTGGGKTTATACAATTGCCTTTTCTTACTCTGCCAAAAATAAAACAGCTTTTTCTGCATGGCAACAGTTTGGAGACACTSTATGCTCATATACCACAAAAATATCTGCCCAAACAATATGGTGGTGAAAATGGTTGCATCGATGAACTAGAGAAGTCCACATTCCAACAATTTCTTGATCACCGTGATTATTTCAAAGAGGATCTCAAATATCGTAATAATGAGGAGCTACGTGTTGGTCAGCAACCGGACTATGAAAGTTTATTTGGTATGGAAGGTTCATTTCGTAAAATCGCTGTGGACTAGTCGTTTACTAAACAAATAAGGACCGAAGGGTAACTTTAAGAAATTAAAAAAACAAAAAAAACCATTAATAATAATAAAAGGGTTTCTTTGATTTTAATTTTGGTAAGAGATAATAATAAATAATGTACATATGTACATATACATATATGCTTACAA